TAAATCATTATCTGTATATATATTTGGCCTGCGTATATCAGGAATTCAACCTTGTTATTCACAATACAAATTGTAGTCCTGTGTTAACTCACAGCAGTTTAAAACATAGCAGTACCTTTCTGAATTATATATAACGCTTCCCAAACTGAACATATACAAAAACGGATTTGAAATATAGCCCACTTTCTTGTTTCAAAAATAAACTCAACTGGGTTATGATTATTTATAAATGAAAATTAATACTTTTTGAATTCACTTATATTATATAGTGACATATAGTTTTGGTAACTTAAAACTCCACTGTTTTAAAAATAAACCTTGTATTCTACCTTTATGTATTCGACTTTGAGTTTTTTTACATATGGATTATCAACTTAAAGGGTTTATAAATCCTCCTATTGATTCAAGCCTTAATAAAGTTTATAAGGAATTTAGTCTCAGATTTTTGGTCATATAAAGAAGTCACTAATATTCAAATTTACGGTAAATATTAATCATTAATTATTGATTTTAATTATTACTGAAAAATGTGGTTTTATATCAATTGACATCGACAAACTTAACAGGTTTATCAGTCGTTACAAAAAATTATAAAAACATGGATTTTGATGTTTCAATAAGTGCTGAATGACAAACAAAAACGAAAGGAAGATTCATTAGATACTTTATTTGAGTTCTTGGACTGTTCATACGAATACTTTAAATACTACCAAAAACTTATCATCAGGGAAGTTTGAAAACATCTTTTAGATGTCTTTACATAAATTGTCTGTACATAATTTTTGGTATGTAAGTGTCAGCTGTTTAACTGTGTCGTATAAAAATCGTAAACTTATGTGTGGATTCCCAAAGTTAACGTACTCTTTATTTAAATTTTACACAGTTAGAGGTATGCAGTTTCTGTTATTTAATAGTAAGTAATGAATGCACTTGTTGTGCTGTTCTTATAATTAACGCCTAAACTCCAGATATATAAATTAACTTAACTAACATATTTCGAATTTTTGTTCCTTCATATTTAAACACTATTGTAGTATTAAGTAGTATTAACTATTTCTTTTAAATGTTATCGAATTTTAGAGAGTTATAGCTTTGCAACGAATATTTAATTAATATTTTATGATATTATTTATTCTTCCATTTCCTTTATTGTTTTTTCACAGTAATTGTTAGTATGAATAGTAACAATTTCCCCCAAGGCAATGGAACTGTTAAGACCAGCACTGCTTATAGAGCTTAAATATTGAACTGTAAATATTTTAAAAACTTTCAAATCACAAATTTTCTTAATTATAGCACATTTTATTACACTATACACTGGTATTTAGATAACAATTTTGGAATGGTTTACATTTTGAAATTATACATTACAAAATGAAATAAAAAACTGCCACGCCCCTTATTTTCACACGCAACATATTGCGTGCTTAAGCATATACAGCGCGATAATTTATGATTAATTTCGAACCAAATCAACAAATCTCTTAGCTACTGTAGACCGCGGCTTTGATTTGTGCAGACATGTTTTTCATGAGAATCTATAAAACAATTTTAACATGTTCACGGAGATACGTGAATACAAATATTTAAGAAAAAATACATTAAAATTTTATAGATAAATGCATGGAATACAGATTTGGGTTAATGGAGCATAAAAGTCAGCTTAAACACAAATTGCCGATAACTCATGCATTAATATTTTTTAATACACTTGGCGCTCAAAAATTCATAAGAATGGGTTTAATACTTGGTTTCCACTGCGCTGGCAGCCTTGCCTGCCCGTCGAAGTAAGCGAAATACGAAATCCATAAAGCGAACTTAAAATGAAATTAAAATGGCAATGATGGTAATATTAAGCCATAATGACTTGAAAGTAGCTCCAGTCACTTAGCTTAGTTTAAATTGTTAGTTTTTGACTTTTGTGGAATTTCATACACATTGTGCCAGTAACTGAAATATTTAATATCAAAAGGCATTTCTTTCGATTTGAAGTTTTCTTTCTTAACGTAATTACTATTATTATTGTTTCTTCATCAATGAAGAATGAAGAATGATGAATGCTAAATGCTGAATTGTAAGTTCTTAAGATGCACTTGCCAAGACCCAAAATAACTTTCTTTTCTCTTAGCCGCTTTTAAAATACTTGCCTCTCCATTTGTGTTGTATGCCCTTTAAAGGCTTTGTAAACAAAGTTGATAGTATATAATTTGTAAAATAAAATTGCTTTCTTAATGCGAATTAAAGTATATAACCGCTAGTAATGAAAAGCAATAGATTGTTTTGTACGTATCCATTTAACTGATGTGATGCCATCTGGCGATTCTATGAGGTGGAAGAGTCTCCTCTCAAATATATTGTAGACGTAGTGGCCTAATGCATGTAATTTTCGAATTACTTATATTTTGGTTAAAATGTATATGCTTAAGTTTATTTATATTTAATAACTGCTCTTTGTTATTCGTAATAAGAATTAATATTCTTGAATGGAAGTAAATATATATGCTAAGAAAAAATACTAAAAATATTATAAAAGAACAAAAATTAAAATAGTAAATTAAGCATTGAAATATTAAATACGAAAAACATAACACGAAACAATACTATGAGTATATATAAATTAAAATTAATGCTCAGCAATGACATCTTATATGTAAAAACTGTATTACTATCAGTATTACAATAATACAATAAAGTAATACAATGCAAGCACTTCAATATATACTCAAATACTTCAGAAAATCAACAAAGTAAATATTCTAATTTCATTTAACCTGATATGTGTCAGCAAATTTTATGCCCTTATTTTCTCCAAACTTATACACAGCATCCACGTAACACCCTCTGTATAGCTATAATCCAGAGGACAAGCAATCTTGACCTGTCTAATCGCAGTTACTGGGGAATGGTAATATCAACCTTTTTTGGGACCACTCCAAAGTTGTGGTCATTTGAGGCTATAGTTAGCCTTGAAACCAACCATATACAATTGTAAAACACCATTCTAATGAAAATAAGAAGGGAGACTGGGTATACCGTCAGTGAACCTCTTAATAGTTGTAAGGACCTAAATATATAATTAAAAATATGCACCTGAGATATCCGAACTCTTTACAAACAAGGTGTATCTGTACAGCTAGTTAATATCCGCACTCCACAAACTGCAATGAGCAAAACGAGGTTCCTCTATATGAGCATATTACGATATATTAATACGTTTCTTGTTTCTTAGCATTTTATTTAAAAAATGCAAACCTACAGTAAAATCAAATGCTAAATTCGAAAAAATTAATGAAGGTTATGGAACAAAGCCTCTTAATTGAGTAAAGGCTCCTAAAACGAAAATATATGAAAAGTCTGAAAAGAAACTATGCTGTATATTAAGGAATCACCTTAAGAATTGCATCCAAAAATCAAATAAAAAATATATAAATTTTTCTAAATCATGTGAATATGAATTAATACGTATGTAAATAAAAAAATTAATTTTAAATAATAATAATATCCATTTCTTAGTTCTGATTTGGCAGAACTGTTATATCAAACAGAATTATTAGGTAAGACATTATATATTTAGTTTAATAACTGCTAAGTATATTTAAATTGTGAAAACTTACTACAGAGTGCTCCGTTTTCGCTTAGTGGATATCTCACCAGACAGAATTGTCACATATGGAGTAGTAAAAAACCAAAAGTAATTTTTTAAAGACAATTGTATCTAGAAAAAGTCATTGCATGGAATGACAATTCAAATGCACCAAATTTTAGTAAATAATAAATCGATCTGATCGCCATAGTCACATGATTACCAATATTTTTTACGAAATTAATAGAGAACTGTGTTTAAAAAAACATGTAATATGTTCTATTTTGGTTCTGTTTTGCTTGGTATTTCCCGGAATTATGATTTTCATTTGGACGCAGTTAGTTAGCCGTTGAAATTTTGCTTTTTAAGATTATGCGTATGATTATGTTTATGCAAATAATCCTCAAATTTTCCATGGTTTAAAAATGACCACCTGTGAAAATATGGCCGACCCATTGCCAGCTATGTTTTGACGAATAATCAGAAACTATTTCAAAAGTATTCAGAACTGTAAAAGGTGCCATAAATAATATTTAAATACTATTGTATTTTATATCTAATGGTATAACTCAGACAATGTATTGAAATAAAAAATTTGTTTGAAATCTTAAGCACAAGCAAGTTATCCTTAGGATTTCTAAAATAGATAATCATTTGCAGTTTTAATATTTTTCAAAAATACTTTCAAATATCTACATTTTCAACATTGCCTAAAATATATACATCTTAATATTTAAAAAATTATTAGAAACTTTATAATAAAAAGAATACATTAAAAGTTTATTAAAAAGACGATCCAAAAAAGAATTACTAAAACTCTGGCACCATTGCTTAATACATAAATTATTCAAAAAAGAATTATTATAGAATTATTATAAGAAAGAATTTAGTTAACTCAATTTAGCTGACTAATTGATTAAATATTCAATAACCAAAATCACAGCTTAAGCGAAAAATTTTGATTTTTAATCAAATTTCTTATTAAAATATTTCTGTGAATCTTTTTATAATTAATAAAAAACACTATAATCTTGTAGAATTAAAATAGTTTCTAGTTTACAGTTAATAATGAGATTTACTGATAAGTAGTACGACTCTACTTTACTGCGCCGACACCTAATTAATTTGGTTCATCAATTGAACTATGAATAATTAATCATAAAACTCAATATGCTGAGTAATTAAACCAGAGAAACTCTTGAAAATATTACGGACTTCTTGCATATATTCTACAGCAAATATGAATGATTGCATTAATTAAATTATTAAACATTTTTTCTTGTTGTAATTACTTTGCTGATTTGCACTTGTAAGCAGACATAATTGAGTCTCATTTCAACCTCGTAGTTAAAATAGAATATAAATGAATTACGCATAAATTAAAAAAAATAATTATGAATTACAATGCACTTTTTACCTCTTTGGAATTGTGGGTAACTGCTTATGGCTTGAGATACACGTAACTCGTTGTTAAATTACTTGTGGCGACGTACCTGTAAGAGAAAATAAATAATTTGTTTTAATTATAAAATTTTTAATGTTTTACAGTTGTAGGAGTTAAAATAATTAATTATTTTTTTATGTCAGTTGAAGTAATTATGTCTTTGACAGTCAAGTTGCCAAATGAGGAAGCATTTTAAAATGGATCGCTTTAAACTGTACTAGCATTATTAAAAACGACCAGTTTAGATTGAATTTGATGATAGTTGAAAAGCAAATAATTATTTATATTTTTCAGAAATTTATTTAAAGAAAATAATTTATTATTTGAAATAAATTTGAAATTTTATTATATATTATATACGACTTAAATAATTATATCGAGACTATTTGGTTGTGTTCATATTTTAAATCGTGATCTCGGAATGCCTGTTAATTTTTGACATTTGAATATTAAAGCAATTGAAGTTATTACAAAAAATGAATAATATGCGTCCCTTAATATATGACGCAGACAGCATTATAATAAAGAGCAGAGTTCATAATGCATCGCAAAGCTCCTTTGAATAATCATCCAACAAAAATACTTATTATATGTATGTGCCACAATCTTATCGCAGAAATTACTGAACTCTGATTATATTGTGAGTAGCAAAACAATTGAGGATATGAAATAATATCTTCATTGTAGTGAACTTTTCTTTAAGTTAGTAATATGCATATTCGGATATTGAAAACATTTTTATATCAAACCCATAACCCATTTAAAATTCAATTCCTAAAAATCATATTTCGATTAATTATGTTGAAGTTGTTTTGAGCTAGTGCACTTAAGCACTTATACTCTTTTTTAACTCGAGATTTCTTCAAAACCTCTCTCTACACCTTGACTAAATTATTGTTTATCACTTCATTAGACTAAGCAATAATTGACCTCAGATCTGCATACCTCCCCGAGGAACCTGTAACCATTCTGAGATTTGATAACGCGGTGTTGGTAAGTCTGTCAGATTTCGCAAATAATTTCAGGGCTCTATCCTTTATGTATTTTTTGATGGGATCAATCTTGTTGTCCCTGAGGTTGTCATTCGTCCTAATGTACCATGGAACTTTGAAAAGTCTTCTCAGAGCCTGGCTTTGTGCAATTTCTAGCTTGTGAATAGTAGTGTTTGAAGCTATTTTTTGAAATATTTTGACCTGAACGGTTTTATCCTGTATCCAAATTTAAAATACACACCAGGTGTTCCGTAAATCTTTAAATCTTAAGTTTTTTAAGATTTAAATTAATATGAAATGTTAACATTTCTTTAAATAAAAATAATTGTTATGAAAACGGAATATAACGTTAAAAATTATAAAAGATCCGAGTTAGATGAATATTATTTTGAGTACATCTTGCGGATTATTGGATTTTCTGCACACAGAGACTTGGTGTCTGTCTATCAATGATTTTTCTGCCTTTGCTATTAACAATTAAAATACGATTTATTTAGCTCTTGCTTATGATGCAGTTGACTGCCTTTAGCAAGGATCATGTCTCTAATTCTTTTAAAATGTTGTTTAGAGTATCCCAAAAATCTGTCGGAAACTAATATCTACGCAAATACTTAAAGTAACAATGCGTTAAGTTAAACAATAAACCAGAACTGCCTACGCAACTGAAATCTGCATTACGAAAAATAATTATACCACTACGTTATTTAATGCCTTTGGGAAAAGTCACGTGATATATATGAAATCTGTCACAGATACCCTACCATCTCATACAATAGTACAATAGATTTTATAGGTCACCGTGCACCATTATTGCTTGAAGTAATAACCTCACCCTAATTTAATATATGCAATTAATTTAATATTTATATTTTTAAATAAGCAAACTATAAAATAAATATTTATTTTTTGCCCAAAATTGCGTACAACTTCAAAGTGCAACTTTTTAACCTTGGCACTCCTAAGTTTGCCTTTACAAATCATAAAAATTTTAAATGCGAATTTTAAAGAAATGCATATGTCTTCATATCTAATAAATTATGTCATAAATCTTTGACATTCTCTAAAATTTTCTCTTTTCCTGCACAGACAATCAACTAGTTTTACTAAGCTTGCAACAGCGATTTGTGTGGATATATAAAAACATACCTACATGTACTGTACCGTAGTCTACCCGTACTAGTAGTAGACTTCATATATAGAATATATAAGTATAGTGAATGTTCTTCAAGTGCGGGCATTAAAAAGCAATCAATCTTAACTCGTCTCTTGCTGCTTTGTCGCTACCGAAGAAAAGTTTGGAGTAATCGTAAAGGTGCATTAATAATTTAAATTATAATAATTTAGAGTTAAATGTCAATCAAATAAAAGTTTTTTCTTTTTATCTTATTGAATTTATGGTATATATGTTATATGGTATAAGGTAACAATAAGTTAAAAATCTTATAAAGTTAAATTCATTGAAATAAATGCAAGTCAATTTATTATATTTAGGAAGTAAGTCTTTAGTGACATAAAAAAATCTTCTGAATAAGGATTGTATTGAAATAGTCTGTTCATATTCAGATTTTATAAAAAAAAAAATTTTTATATCAATTTAAAAAATTCATATAGAATATGATTGTTTTATAATTCAAAAAGCACTATAATATGTCTTATAAATTGTAAAATACTGTATTAATATAAAAAATTAAATTAATTGAAGAAGGAATTAATAGTAATACAATATGTTATAACAACTTAAATTTAATTTTTAAATTTAATTTTAGGCTGAAATTAGGTCAGCTTGACAGCTGACAACTGTAAAATAAGAGAAAATTATTTGTGCTAAAAATTGACAAGCAAAGAAAAATGGTACAGATGTTACCTCTAAGTTCACAGAAGCTTAAATAATCTTTAAACACTATTTTCAATCTACGTTGAGATTTCATTTATATGATAATACATATACAATGTAATTAATATATAAAAACATGTGTATAGTATAATATACAAAAAGAGTAAGAGCAGCTATATAAGTATGTTCTCAGCTTTTAAAGTTGAAGGAGCTCGTGGTATGGATGGAAGTGCATATAAACAAGAATAAGATATAGTGTCAGTTTGTAGAACAACTAGTTCCATTAGATCGATACCATTTCTCTCCAAACCATTTCTCCACAAATATTTGCTTTTAAATTAGAAGTGGATGTATTAATGAAATAAAAAAGTTTCTCTGAGAAAATATATACCGCTTTATACAAAAATTGCAACTAAATCTGAACCAACCAACTCCATTGATCGCAGGTTATATACATCAGAAAATAAAAAAAAATTTTTCAGAATAACACTCTAACATCGGTATTTTATATAGGTGCTATATCTTAATCTCAGCCGATATAAATAAAATTTTGTTTCATTCTGCTATATATTTATTAGTATATTTCGTAACAAACGTTATTCTTTATTACAAACAAAGAAAATTTATATTTAATAATTTAGTTAATATGACAGCTCTACAACATATTGTTGTGATATCGACAAATAACCAAATAATAATCGACAAATAATAATATGTGTGCTGAATGACTAGTTAAAACTAAACCAGATAGACGGGAAGAGCTAAATGAAATATAAAACGATTAAATGGAGAAGCTTGCTTCTCCAGATATTGAGACTTACACTTTTAAACTACTTACACTAGCAGTAAATATAACCAGTCATCTAACGACAATAAATATATAAAGTTTTTTTACACTGATTACACAAACAACTGTTAACAAAAACTATATTACATTGAATAGAAATATCGAGTGGAAATATTTTTAGAATAGCGGATTTTACAAAAATCCGTAAGGTCGTAAGACTTAAAATCGTGATCGTGCTCTATTATTATATCAAATACTAAAGAAGGAAAACAAAAGGTAGTTACGATGTCACTTTAGAAACTTTTCTTTAACTACTGTACAACATTGCCTCCACATACACAAGTTCATTCCTTCGCCATCGACTAATTGCTCAAAATTTAGATGGAGTTTTTACCACAGTTTTGTAAGAATATTATTTACTGCAAATTTTTGCGCTTAATTAAATTAGCGAGTTAGGGATTAGGGATTGAGTTAGGGATAAAATTTTTATTGTTGTATTATATTGTTATTTACTACTATTACTATTTACCCATTAAAAAAAAATTTCTTTGTCATATTTAATTTTAAAAAAAATTAATTTAAATTTAATTGAACCTAATAATAAAATAGCCTTTATTTTATTGGTTTCTGCAGATCACACGTATTCCATCATTAAATTTAAAAACAGTTTTCTTTTCTCACAAATTATACCATCATGTTTTTAAGGTTAAATGAAAACAATGTCTAACCACTTCAGAATTTTAGCAACATTTGAAAATATTCGAAAATAAAAGACTTAAGACACAAACTTGCCGAGCAAGCTTTTTATGGTGGATAATTAATGCCATAACAAAAGGTAAAAAATTTATAAAATAAAGTCAAAAAAAAAAAAATAAAAAAGATTCTAAAACGTAACTTAAACTGTTGTTTCCTCAAGAGCAGCTGCAAATTCATATAAAATTTCTTTTGTTAGCCAAAGGAGAAAATTTGTGAATAAAATTTTGTGAAACCTTGTGAAGGTTGAATCTGTCAGTGAAGAACGACGAACGACATTCATGCGTGCGTATAATTACGCGTCTGCCCATTTTAAAGGCCTTTTATTGTTCTTCGTATATCTTCCTGAGTGCTTTTGGAGTGTTTTACAAAAATTTTAATTTCAGCATATTAACATGTTTTATTATAAATGGGCGTGTTGCTGTGTATGAAGTTGGAGTAAAATTTAATGACAGTAACTGAAATGTGCACTAAATGCTGATTACCCGCAATTGCTGTGGGTAAATGTGATTAAAATCATGAGATTATATGCAATTGTGACCCCGGGCTAATAATTATATATCAAAAAAAAAAAATTAAAACAAAAACGTACTTAAATGAAAACGATTTTAATTTCTCTTTAAGCAATTAAATCATTTAAACTTATTTAACTAAAATTCTATTATATATATACTACGAGTATG